CCTGAACCATTTCACGTGCAAATCAAGGGCTCAAAGTCAATGAAATCGACAGTGCATTACCACTCATAGAAAAACTGAGGAGAAATGACAATGTGACCAGCTTAAATGGCCACTGTTGTCTGCTAATGACATCTCTTTGTAAAACATCGTGCACGTAGGTGAGGATTGGGAACACACCAACGTCCCCTAGGCTGATGTTCCCAGGTTCCGAGGAAGATCTCCACACCAAGGTATTCCCTGCTTCATAAAGTCTCAATGGCCCTTTGGGCCTGGACATCCGTTTCTTGCACAAAAGTTGTGCTATGAGTCTAAGCCATAGTCTAACCAGAATGAAAAGCAGAGATCTCAAATACAGACTGGGAGTTCATCTTGGAAAATGAAGATGAACGAAACAAACTTAAAAAAAAAAAAAGATGCAAAATAGAAAAAGAAGCAAGGTATTCTGTGAAATATAGTTAAAAGCAAATAAAAACATAGTTAAAATATAATTTTAAATGAATTGTAAATGTTCATTAATTCCTATGGTTGTTTTTGTTTGTTGCTATGGCATTTAGAAACATTCGAATTGTGTTTAGAACTTTCCCAAATAACATTCTTTACCTCAAAAGTATACCCTGTTAAGTCAGAATAGTGGTAATCCTTAAAGGTGGCATGCTGGAAAGGGCAGGAGGACCTTCTGGGGTGTTGGTGAGGGTCCGATGCACCTGGGACTGGTAGCATGGGTGTGCTCTAGTGGTGGGGCTGCAGTCCACGCAAACCAGCTCTGAGACCCAATTGTTTTAATCTTTAGGAATTTGTGAGTAGGTTGTTAAACACAGCCATCATTAAAATATATAAATTTACAATTAAATAAATTATGCTAAAAAGAGTACTCAAAACTTCCTAATTATTTTACTATTATTCATGCTCTTGAGGTCATTTATGTGCATTGTATCTGTATGATGGAAATATATACCATATATAGATACATATGTCACTGTATATCTCTTCCCAACTCTGCATTCAATGATGTCATGTTGGTAGTTTGAAATGGGCCATGGTGGCTGAATCCATTTGCACAACAGAAGTCGACAAATGCTACAAGTCAGGGCTTGAGTTTTGTTGATTTTCTAGATTTAGGAAAGTAATGGAGAAAATGTCAATAATGCAGACTAAACTTAAAAGTATGTCACATCCGTAGCCACTACATGGTAAACAGCAGAGAAAAATGAGGAAATATTCTTCCAATGTTTGAAAAATATTATCCAATTCAGCAAAGTTGCTCATATCATTGACAAATAAGTGAAGTTAAAACATACCTCTTGGTTATTTCAGTTTTATCTTATTAATGTAGAGAAAAATAATAACCAACATTCGTGTTGGAATTACATTCATTAGTGACTTGCAACTTTAGATTGTCTACAGGTACAAGAATTCATTAAAAATCAATTTTTCCCAGGATTTCATTTCTACTCCTTTGTTTCTGTAATTCTAATTATTGAGATCTAGACCTCATTACTCTCATATTTCCCACCTCTCTGTTTATTTGTTCTACTTTCTGAGACAATTCTTCAACTTTATCTTCTAAGCCTTCTATTGAATTTTTTTAAATTGAGCAATAATTTTAAATTTCCAAGATTTCTTTCTTGTTCTCTAATTCTACCATTTTTACAGCATCTTTTTCTGATTTTAAAGGTGCAATTCTTATTTCTCAATTATTTCTGAATATACAAAAGGGTATATATTTTTTAGTTATCCACCGTTCTCTGAATTACTTGTCTCTTTTCGGATCAATTTCTCTGTTTAATTTGCTCCTTCTTTTTCTTGTTGCAGTCTTTTCTCCAGTGTCTAGTGATCTTTGGTTGCTCATTCATACTTAAAAACGAGGCAACAGAAAAGCTCATTCATTGGGAACTTGGCTGTGTGGATGGGCTTGTTGAATGGCAGGCTTTGTTTTCAGCTGAGCAGATGGGGATCAGCCAACTTGCTTGGGGGACTCCAAAATACCAAAATGCAGAGGTCCTGCACTGTTATCTTGTTGTCTCCAGGCAGATTGGTCAATTTCCTTAGAGAAGTACCTTCCTATTTATTTTAACCTTGGGGGTAAACACAAGGCAGCCTGATATTCCATGACCAGGGTGAGGAAAGGTGACTGTTCCATATGCAGACTCCTGTTTTCTGCCACGCTTCACTTCTGCCCTCTGTTGTAGCTGCCATTTTTGAGTCTTTTGAGTCTGGAACCTCTCTGAGTTTCTACAGGAAAATCAGTCCCCTCCTTGGCTGTGGGTCATCTCTTCTGTGTTCCAAGAAGCAGTTTCCTGCACCATGTTTCACCAGTTACCACTTCATTTTCTGCTTTCTGTCGCCAGAAATGTGTGGAAATTGTCATTGATTGATGGCCTCCCTCATCAGTTCACCATCTTGAAACAGAAGGCTCAACTCATTTTTAACATTGTTTGAGACTTAGGCTTCATAAATAGGAGTGTTTCCTTTGGGAGGGGTAAGAAGAATGTCAATGCAAATAATCTATAATCAACATATAAATCAAAATTGAGGTGAGTTTATTATGAGCCAACCCTAAGGATCAGATAGCCTGGGAGAGTACTTTCATGAAGGAAAGAAGCGCTCCAAGGAAGTGGGGTGTACAGAGTGGTTATCTACCATGTTGGAACAAAGAGCATGCATCACATATGATAGGAACTCAGCAGGTTGGTGGTCACAAGGTGAACACAGCAGGTGGGTAATTAATCCTTAGTCTCTAGGAAGAGATGCTTATCCTTAAGGAAGTGCCGATATAGGGGGAAGCTACATCACTATCTTTAAGGGCAATATTCTTGTCTTTGGGACATTGTAAATGTTTAAAGCAGATGTACAATGCATGCTCAACAGGCCACGTCAGGCCTTTTTGGGAAAAAAAGGTCAGGCCAAATTAGTTTTAAACCAAATGGCTTCCTCATAGACTTCAATATATCCTATTGCTTGTTATTTATTCATCAAGAGTTATGGGTATGGGGGTGTTCTTGTCATTGTTGTTTAAGACCTGAGTTAATATTTCTGTAATTATTGGTTCATGCAAGGCCTCTCTCTTACTTTTTTAGATGTATTTAATCCCATTCCTCTCTCCTCTCCTTCTCCTTCCACTAGGCAACCATTTTACTGTAGGTGACACATATCCTTCTACTCGTATGTATGCCAGTAAAATATGTATCATTATTCTTTGTGAACTTTTTAAAAATCTACACAAATGACATTGTGCTGAAGATCTCATTCTCCTTTTTACTTTTTTCAGTCAGCTCAAGGTTATTAACTACATTTTTCAGAAATACCCACATCTCTATTATTTTTTATCTGCTTGATCTATCAGTTAAAATCTCCATCTACAATTGTTGATTTCTGTGTTTCTGTCAGTTGTTTACTATATATGTGAGACTGTTTTATTAAGTGTGTATGCGTGCATGATGGCTATATATTTGAGACTGTTTTATTAAGTGTGTATGTGTGCATGATGGCTATGTCATCTGATATTTATTACTAACCTTACTAAATTTTATGCTTTTTTTTACTTGAATTTTATTTTGTCAGATATTAAGATTGCTACCTCAGCTGTATTTAATTTCTTATTTTTGCCTGGAATATACTTTTCTATCCTTCTATTTCTAAATTTTCTGTGTCTTTCTGTTTTAAATGTGTTTTTTATATATAACATCTTTCTTTTAATCCAACATGGACATCTCTGTCTTTTAATTAGTAACTATGGTGGTTAACTTTATGTGTCAACTTGACTAGGCCACAGGGTGCCCAGATATTTGACCAAATGTTGTTCTGGGTGTGTCTGTGAGGGTGCTTTTAGATGAGATTAATATTTGACTCAGTAGACTGAGTAAAGTAGATTGCCCTCCCCAATATGAGTAGGCCTCATCCAATCAGATGAAGGCCCAAGTAGAATAAAAAAACTGACCCTCCGGCAAGAGGGAGGGAATTTTCCCCTACCTGACTGTCTTGAGCAGGGATGTTTTTCTTTCCTGCCTTCAAGCCTGAACTGAAATATCACCTCTTCCTGTGTCTCAAGCCTACTGGCATTTCGACTAGAAACACATCGTGGACATTCCTGGGTCTCCAGCTTGCTTACTGCAGATCTTGGGACTTGTTAGCTTCTATAATCGCATGAGCCAGTTCCTTACTACAGATAGATAGCTAGCTAGCTAGCTAGATAGCTAGACAGATAGACAGACAGACACATACATACATACATAGGTAGATATCTCCTACTGGTTCTGTTTCTCTAGAGAGCTCTAATACAGTAACTTTGCCATTTACATTTGTTCTAATTAATATTATATTAGGATTTATTTCTTATTTGATATTTCTACTTTTATTTTTTATGATTTTTTCTTTGTTTCTTTCCTTTGGGTAGAATAAATTTTCTTTTCATAAAGAAGCTTTACCCTACAGAATACCTTTCTAGTTAGTGTTTTATCAATAAAATGTTTCTTAGTTTTTAATATCCAAATGTCATACTGCATATATTACAGTACAAGATTTTTTGGCTAATATTTATTTAGAAAAAAATTCATATTTACATTCCCCAAATTCAGTGCAATATTTTTAACAATACAAAGTGAAGGAAGTCTCAAGTTACACTCCCAATAAAATTAGTAAAATGTCCAAATCATGTGTAAACATTTTGAAAAGTGCACCAAGTGCCAAGTAAGGGGACGTGTGCTCCAGATGTTGCAGAAACAGAGACAAGAGGAAACAAAAATTTTAAAGCTGTACATAACCTGAGAGATAACAGAGAGGAGAGAGCTGAAACCTAGGTAATTTCAGGCAGGAAACCCAACATGAACCAGCAGAACTCAAGAAATTGTCAGCAATCAGGTCATTCTGAATACAGGGAAGAAGTACAGAGGCTGAAAACGAGGGCAGAAAAAATTTAAATGTCTCTGGTCTGGCCCCATTCCCAAGCCTGGCTCTCATAACACTGGAGGTTGGGCTTATTCCTAGAACCAGCTCCACCCCAGACTAAGTTCTAGAGGATTACCCTCTAGAGAAAGTGATCAGCCACAAAGACAAAATTTCAGACACTTTAATGTGGGAGGGTTGCCAAAAAGAGGCTGGGACCCCATTCAATTACCCTTAGAAAATGCCATCAGAACAATCCCCAACCACTCAGAGCTTCCAATCAGCATCTATCAAAATGATCACATGGCTTTTCTCCTTTCACCTGTTACAGCAGAACTCTCCCAATCAGCTTACACATTACTGACCAATACTCACCATCTCTCGGGAAAACATAAATGTCTGGGGTACAGCAGTCCCCCCTTAGCTGTGGGAGATACGTTCCAAGACCCCCAGTGGATACCTAAAACCACAGATAGTACCAAACCCGATATGTACTATGTTTTCCCCTATATATACCTATGATAAAGTTTAATTAATAAATTAGGCACAGTAAGAGATTAACAACAATAACTAACAATAAAATAGAACAATTATAACTGTATCAATTATATACTGTAATAGAAGTTATGTGAATATGGTCTCTCTCTCTTAGAATATCTTACTGTACTGTACTCACCCTTCTGATGATGACGATGTGAGATGATACAATGCCCACGTGATGAGACGAAGTGAGGTGAGTGACATAGGCATTGGGATGTAGTGGACTTTCCATTTAATATTTTCAGAACTCAGTTGACTGTGGGTAACTGAAACCGAAGAGAGCGAAACTGAGGATGAAGGGGGACTACTGTATATTGCATGCTCACAGCTAGTAGGCTACTCTCTCATATAACCACATACTTCTGTCCCTATAGATTGATTTGTTCAGTTGTTGTTTGTCCCCAAATTGCTTTTTGCCATTTGTACTTGTTATTTTAAACATTTAATTTAATCAAATATTTCATAATTTGGCAAAAGAATAGTAATAGTATGAAGCAAAAGAGCTATTAATTCTATTTGGACTAGGCAGAATTCTAAAGATTTCCCCCATGATTCTCATCACTTGGTTATTCAAAGACTAATCTAGGTACTGCTTTAAAGGGACTTTGCAGATGGAATTAAGGTTATTAATCAGCTTAAAATAGGGAGATTATCCTGGAATTTCCAGATAGGTCCAAAGTAATTACACAGGACCTTAAAAGCAGACGAGGAAGACAGGAGAGATGAGGCAGAAGGGGAGATCAGAAAGATCAAGAGTGTGAGAAGGACCTACCCCACTATTGATGGCTTTGAAGATGGAAAAAGGACACCAAGAGCCAAGGAATGTGGCCAGCCTCTAGAAGGTGAGAATGACCCCCAGTCAACAGCCCACCGGGAAAAGGTGACCTCAGTCCTACAACCTCATGGAACCAAATCCTGCCAACAACCCAAAGCCTGTAGTGAGGAATGAAGCTCTGCCAACACCTCGAGTTCAGCCTTGTGGACCCTAAGCAGAGCCCACCAAACTTCTGACCTACAGACCTATGAGATAGTCAATGAGTGTTTTTTTATGTTCTGGTAATTTGTAACAGCAGCTGTTTGAAACTAAAACATCACTGAAAACTAAATTTATTACTTTGAAAAGATTTCATAAGATGAGTTGCTGAGAGCCAGCACTAGTGGTTCAAGTTCAGCGCTCTCACCGCTTCAGGGGTCCGGGTTTGTTTCCCAGTTGTGGAACCACACCACCCATCTGTCAGCAGCCATGCTGTGGTGGTGGCTCACACAGAAGAACTAAAAGGACTTACAACTGGGATATACAACTATGCACTGGGGCTTCGGGGAGAAAAAAAAAGCAGCTTTTGAATTTGATGTGAACGTGACAATTGTAAAAGATTGGAAAGAAGATTGCAAAAATTTTGCAGAAAAATACATTCCATTTGCTTCACAAATGCTCTTAAGGTTTTGCTCCACTTTTATCACACCCAAACTGGAGACTGAGGGCAATATATTATAAGTATGGCATTCGCAGGAAAGACAACAGAAATCCATTGACCTATACGAAAAGAAAAGAACTCAGCTCTGCATTTAAAGACTAGTGTTTATATAGGTTACAATAAAATGTGTAAGTTACCTATATGTGTCTTTTTTTTTAAAGATTTCATGCTTTAAGCAAGTTTTTCAATTAATAGACAAACTGTAAGTCCTGATTGCCTCTGATAAGAGAGCTTCTCCTGTAAAGTAGTGAATTATCAACAGCTTTCCTAAAGTCCTATGCTCCTGTTGTTAGCGGCTACACCAGGTCTGTGCAATGCTGTCTTTCACTATGCGCTCTCTGCAGCAGGGTGCCTGTTATCCTGCGAGGGCCTTGCCTTTCTGGGCTGATGACTTGTGACTCTCCATCTGCAGCTGCGTATGCTGTAAATGTGAGAAAGTTTCATTAGGTGCCATGAATTTTTACCAGGATTGGGTAGGACCTGGAGTAGTCTCTGCCCGCTGCACAGAAGTCCTTGAATTGCAGAGATGATACATTCCTGGCTTCAGCATTTCAGGTTTTTACTGTCTGAGGGGCTGCAAACTGAAATGCTTTAGGGGTAAGGCAGGTAACCTGAATGAGAAAAGCAGGAGAAAGGAAGTAACGGGGCTGGTGTAAGCAACAGAGAGTGAGTGCTAAGTCCAGTGACAAACCAGAGCACCTGCCAAAAGGAGAATGGAATGCCTATTGGTGAGCGCTGGTACTAAGTTCACGCCCACTACCAGCTGCATTTTCGATCTTTTGTTTTTCCTTTTTTTTAACACCACTTTACCTGAAAAAAAAAAATCCAATGTTACAAATAACTGAAAGGTATATTAATTACAAGCAGTTGCCTAAAGTAAAGTTGAACTCTGTAATATAGCAAAACATTTTCCCCCCACATTTTAGAGAAGAACTGATACACTCCTTTGTCATTGTATTGTATTGTCATACAGTGAGAAGGAACCAGAAGCTCTGGGACGACCAGTATACTTTTCGTGGAAAGAAAGTCAAGAAAAGAAAAGAGGAAGTTGAACAAGGCAGAAATGAAAATTAAGAAAGAAGAAGAAAATAAGAATTTTGAAAGGCAGTAGGAAAGGCCTTTGAAATTTTTAATCACTAACTTGGAAAAAATAGTTTTCTAGATTGTAGGTACACTTACTTTTGATTGCTCAAAAGTAAGTTCAAATTATATTCGATGACTTTTATAATGCTGTTTTATACCCTGGAGAGGGTCACGAAAATTTTCCAAGTGCTTTTGAGGAATTCTTGAAACAGTCTTCTCCAATCATTGGTGAGAAATTAATTTTGAATGACTTCTGAATCTCTTTGAGAAAAAGTTGTATATATTCTTTCCCACAGCTCAATTGCATTAGAACATTAGCACAGAGATTTTTGGCAGAGAAAAAAAACTGTTGTATTTTGACTACTTAAGTGTTAAAAGTTTTAGGGTGGGGTTTCATTTTGTTCTACAAAGTCTGCCAAACTCCGGCTAAAACAAAGCAAATAGGCCAAGTGTAAAATTAGAGATCAGTTACATGTCTTTTTTCACGAAACCTACTGTAAACGGATAATTGTGTAAGAAAATTAAAGAGTTGTAGTGGAGATAGAAATTAAAAACTAACTTTCTGAAATGTTTCAAAACCAAAAGCCCAGAAAGAGCCCTGTTTCATGTTTCAAGCAAAGAATAACCAAAAGGTCTAAAAGTTAATTCCCTTATTACACTCTATTTTGGAGATTACTGAAGTTGCTGAAGATTAGGGATATTGAAACAATTATAATTTTAGACGCTGTGTTGTGATGCTATGTAGTTTGAAGCAGGAAGTGATTAGGAGGCAATTTTTCACTAATAGAAAACAGAGGCAGCAATATCTAGAAAGAAAATTTAGGATAATTGCAAATAGACGACCTGTATAATTCCTGGGTTAATTATTAATATTGAGGGTAAAAATATTTGGTAGTGTAACCTTGGTAACTAGATGAAAGTGAAATGTTACCCATAGTAGGGGACTTTAGTTTTTGACATTTTATGACTTACATGCACTTAAATAAGACTGTTTTATCATAAGTATTGAGTTGTTGAGGAATTATTTTAGGCAGTAAGCCAATACAAGAAATAAAAGATTAGTGTCAAAATCAAATGCCTAGTGGGGCCAGGCAGAGGACACAGTCAATGAGGGTGGCCCGATACGACAAGAGGAATAGTGGAGATACGGACCAAGTGGGAGTGTGCATTCCATCTGAAAGGCCAGCTGTCGACATATGGGAATGCGGGTGAGGGCATTTCAAAAATTTTTAAGTGATTTTGGATATCTGGATTTTATGTGACATCTCTTGATTTGTAATTCAGCAAATAATTTTTTTTTCCTAAGGAAGATTAGTCCCGAGCTAACATCTGTGCCAATATTTCTCTACCTTATACATGGGTCGCTGCCACAGCGTGGCTGATGAGTGGTGTAGGTCCACGCCTGGGATCCAAACCTTTGAACCCAGGCTGCCAAAGTGGAGTATGCCAAATTTAACCATTACACCACGGGGCTGGCCCCAACAAATAATTTAATTAACAAACAAACCTATGAGTCAAATAAAACTCACATGCTGTCTGGATTCAGCTTGCAGACCATCTCTAGATTACCAGAAGAGGGATGACATTAAGATTAATTGAACACCTATTAAGTGCCAGTTAATAGACGTAAAATAAGTTTATTTATACCTCAAGTAACTCAATGCAGTAAGTACAATCATCTCCATAACACAAGGAGGAAGTTGAGGCTTACAGAGGTGAGGATATTATTGACAACCACTTCCATGGGTAGCAAAATGTCTAGTAAGAAAAATAAACAAATCAAGTGATAAATGGACCACAAATGACCTAGCATAGAACTGTTGTTTAACAATAATAGGGAGAAAAATTAAGGATAAAACTGATATAACAAAACGCAATTTTAGAAGATTGTATGAACAAAGTGACGTTTATTTAGCCTTCCTTGGGCAATTTGAAGATAGAAAGGGCTCTGTGCATTTGTGGACTTGATTTCCAGTTCAAAATACTCAGGTTTTACTGAGATGGCTCCATGCTCTTTCTCTGAGCTATGACCCTGTTTTTCTGCATTTCCTCTCACAGTGGAAGAGAGAATAGACCTCCAGAGACAATGTGAAGTTATGGCAGGAGTCTCCTCTCTCAGAGCATTTGAATACAGAGTTCCAGAGGGGGAGGTATTCAGGACCTGTGGCTGAGTTGGTGGAACACTTGAAATACAGTAGAGATGCTCTAACGATATCATTGCATTAAGAAGTTGAATTCTTCTTTGTACATTCTGAATTTTAAACATATACTTTTTTGTGTGTGTGTGCAGAGGAAGATTCACCCTAGGCTAACATTTGTTGCCAATCTTTGTCCCGTTTTTTTTCTTCCTTTTCCCCCCTCAAAGCCCCAGTACATAGATGTGTATAGTTGTAAGTTTTTCTGGTTCCTCTATGTGAGCCATCACCACAGCAGAGCTACTGACAAGAGGAGTGGTGTGGTTCCGCAACCAGGCATTGAACCTGGACCGCTGAAGCAGA